CCATCCTGACCCCCTTTGCACCCATCCGGCCCTTCCTTGTACCCATCCTGACCCCTTTTTGCACCCATCCTGCCTCCTTTTCTCACCAATCCTGCCCTTCCTTGCACCCATCCTGCCCCGCTTTGCACCCACCCTTCCCCCCTTGGCACTAACCGTGCCCCCTTTGCACCCATCCTGCCTCCCTTGGCACCAATCCTGCCCCCTTTCCACTCACCCTGCCCCTTTCCACCCCGCTTCCCTGCCCTTCCTGGCGCCCCATGGCTGCCCCCGCCAGCGCCAGGCGATGGGGGGCAGCGGGGCGGGGGGCAGCGCCGCAGCCCCCCGGCCCTCCCGCCGCAGCTGCTCCCTGCACACTCCGCTTGCCCGCAGACGATGATAAATGGAGCCGGGGCCGCGCGCGGGCGCGGGGGCGGGCGGATGCGGGCGGCAGCGGCCGGGGGGAGCGCAGCCCATTCCCAGCCCCCCCCCGCCGCTCCTCCCTTCCGGCTGCCGGGGAATTCCCTGGGCAGGACCCCCCCGACCCCCCCGGTCCTATTTCCACAGGACCCCCCCATCCTGCTCCTCCCCAGTGAGGAATTCTTTCCGCTCAGGAAACGCAGCCTGCGAGCAGCGCGCGGCTCAACGGCGCTGGCGGCCCCCCCGGCCCCTCAAAATCCGCCGCCCCGCGCTCCGGTTTTCCTTTATTTTCACTGCAATTTGGGGCTCTCGGGTGTCACGGGGTTGGTGGCCCTGCCCGGCGCTTTGCAGGGGGCTGCAGGAGGAGGAGGAAGAGGAGGAGGAGGAGGAGGAGGAGGAGGAGGGACGCTGCGCGAGAGGCAGGTCGGCGAAAGGCTAAAACCCCGATCAAGTGGCCGCGGTTCTTCCTGCCGCTGCGAAACGCCAGCTGGCAAGACGGGTTTTGCAAGAAAAAAAAAAAAAAAAAAAAAAAAAAAAAAAAAAGAGGGAAAAAATAAATAAAAGAGAAAAAGCCGAAAAGCCGTGAGCCTCGGCACAAAGCAGCAGCTCCCCCTGAGCACACATTGCAAAACAGCAACCTGAGCTGGATCCAGCCACCCTCGGCATCCTCAAGTGCCCCCCATGGCAAACCCCCCCTGTTTGGTGGAGGCCGCGGGATGGAGGCCGCGGGATGGAGGCCAAGCAGAGGCTGTGCCGGCCTCGGAGCCCAGGGCGGCTCGGCCGGCGCCGCAGTGACCTTGAGCTCGGCCGCGGGGCGGGCGCCCAGCCTCGCGCGGGGACAACGCGCCTCTGGTTTCCTTCTGCGCTCATTTGCTGCCTCATGGGTCGCTCTCCTGCTTCCTTCCGTCCTTCCTTCCTCCCTCCCTCCCTCCCTTCCTTCCTTCCCGCCCGCTATTGGGCTGGATCGCTTCAGCGCCGATTAACTATTCTCACTGGCACTGCGAGTTCCCACAATAAAACCAAGCAAAACAAAACAGAGGACAGCCGTTTGGGAGCGATGTCCCCTGCTGCTGCAGGTGCCCTGCACGGCGATGCCAGCCCGGGTATGCACGCAAGCACGCAGGCATGCACATATGCATTCAAATACTAATGCATAGATGCATGCATGCACGCAAACTGCATCTCTGCAAGCATGCATACATGCATCAATGCATTCATTTACTGATGCATGCATGCACGTAAACTGCATCTCTGCGTGCATACACACACTAATGCCTATATGCATGTGTGCACATATGCATGTGTGCATGCACACATCCCCCTCACCCTCCTCTTCCTCCCCAGGCAGCTCCAAGGGAGCTGCAGGCAGGAACAGAAAGGGGACAGGAGGCAGCAGCCCCACTGCGGTCCCCAATGTTTGTGGGTCCAGGCGAGCGCATTAGCTCTGGCCATGCATCCAGGCCATTCCCTGCGGATCTCCAGATGGACACAGACCCCTCGTCCTCCCTCACGCTGCCGGGGCAAGCAGGCACCCGCTAGCGAGCCAAGTCCTGCTCCACAACATATTTATATACCTGGACACCGAGCAGCATCCCGRGGAAAGGAATAAACTAAAACAAACAACAASAAGAAAAGAAATTGGGGAGAAACAGGGGAAAAAAAAACCCTCCATGTTTCATGTTGCATGATAAATTATTTCAGTAT